AACTCGCGTCATACTCTGTAATTAAACCTGTTATGTATGCTGCTGCAATTATTATAAAATATTCGTCTTGACAATATCGGGTTCCGTCATTGTAGGAGTGTTTGTGCTTTTCCACCTGCTGGGGTCTGTGGTTTTATCATGAAGTTGTGATTGGTTGTTGTTAAATACATCTGTGTTTTTTCTAAATCATGCCTGTCATCATTTATGTTTATTTTAGAAATGTTTAATCAAATTTTAAGTGGAATGCTGAATACACTTCTTTCATTGGCTTTGGAGCCTAGTACTATAACAACGAATTAAAGGACCTACCATATTGTCAAAAGTGTCATATTGTTCTCGAAAATACTGAAAAAGAATAATTTCATTTTTGCTAAAACATTAAATTATTCACCGACTGGTTCCTAACATCAGTCTGATATATTTGAGATGTATGCAACAGTAATTTTGAGAGATATTAGACATTTGCAACGATAATGTGTCTGAGAAATTAGAGACATATGTAACAGTAATAATGTCTGAGATATTTGAGACATGTGTAACAGCAATGTGTCTGAGATATTTGAGACATATGCAACAGTAATGTATTTGAGACATATGCAACAATAATGTGTCTGAGATATTTGAGACATTATAGAACAGTAATGTGTGAGATATTTGAGATACATTCAATAGTAATGTGCCTGAGATATTTGAGATATATGCAACAATACTAGCTCTGCGATATTTGAGATATATGCAACAATAATGTGTCTTAGATATTGGAGATGTATGAAACAATAATTAGTCTGCGATATTTGAGATATATGAAACAATAATTAGTCTGCGATATTTCCGATATATGCAACAATAATGTGTATGAGATATTGGAAACATACGCAACAATAATGTGTATGAGATATTTGAGACAGATGCAAGAACTATATGTCAGCGAGACTTGAGATACACGTAACAACAACTGATCTGAGATATAAGAAATCTATCCAACAATAATTGGTCTAAGATATTTGAGACATGTGTAACAGTCTCAATGAAATGACGATCCATTGATGCACAACAATATATTATGGTACACTATTGTTTCAAGCTAGCATTCTAACTGAAATCGTCCGAAATAACAAACGTTTATTCGATTATGATGTTTTACGTTTGCAGTATTTTGGCGACTGTTTTCATCCTGTTGACATGTATATTACTGATATAACTTTTATAAACATGTTGACCAACGTCATGATGCGTACGTCTCAGTTCCGACAGCTGGGATGAAACACTACGATAAAACAATAAAGGGTTTTATTAAGGGGCGAAAGGTATATCATGTCACGCAGAAGTTAGTAGTATTCCAGACTCCGAAAAGCTGTTGTCTCTCATTCAGACCATTCGTGAAGATCCGGGGTAGAAGAGGTCTTCAGCATACCATGCTTGCCGTAAGAGGCGACTATGTTTGTCGTAAGAGACGAGTAACGGGATCGAGTGGTCAGGCTCGCTGACTTGGTTGATTCATGTCATCGTATCCCAATTGCGTGGATCGATGCGCATGATGTCAGTCACTGGATTGTCTGGTCCAGACTCGATTATTTACAGACCACCGTTATATAGCTGGAATATTGCTGACTGCGACGTTAAACAACAAACAAACAAGCAAACATCAATATGAGAGTTAATGCACACAACTGCGTTGTTTCCCTGCGAAAGAAATGAATAGTCTAATCAGGTTCGTAGAAATAGAAACAGAGAAATAATGTTTTCATTTACAGTGATCCATTCATATAAGTTTTCACTGCCATTTACGCCCAATGGAAGCTGTTTCGGTGGATAATGGATATAGGTACTTCTCTGGCGTTGACGTTTCATTTTTCAATTCCTTTGCTTAAGCAATGGCGCCAATCCTCTGCCGGATGAACATTTTCAGTTAGAATCGACCGGTGCTGCACGCTTAGACATCATATACAGGTGTTGCAGACATGTGTTTGCAAGCACGTGCTAACTATCCTTGTCATGTAACGTCACAACGAAAAGGTGTGGCTGTGATATATACTGGTGCAACGTGTGTCATTTCCGTGTTGATCTCTAAAATATTTTTTTATTATATGTTGTTTTTTAAAAATCTACATCTGTGTTATTCGGGTCCTTTGTTTTAGGCGTCTCTTACTTCACGCTTTAAATTTGCTTTAAATTACTATTTAAACATTTTTCGCTGTGTTAGAATATTCATATTTGAAAAAAACCCAGTACATACTTTTACTGTTTAACAAGGTGTACGAAATATACTACTCAAAACAAGTTAAAGAACACCCCCAACTAGAAGGCTGTGTGTGCAATACTCACTAGCCATGACAGATATTCTATGGTCATATGAATGGGGGGAAGCTGGGTGGGCATGGGTGGCCCAGTCGTCTAAAGCGCCGCGATTCGCTATGCAGAGTTGCGTCCCTTGGGCACACCAGAAACCTATGATTATGGGTTCGAATCCCGGTTCGCCCCGATTATGTTTCTAGGTTTGTCAGCACCATACCCGTGCTCGTGGGTTTCACCGAAGTGGTTAACGTCTGAGACCTGCGTCACTTCGGGCTTACCTCCCACATTAAGCTGACACGCCGTGATATGACTGGAATACTGTTAAAAGCAGCGTTAAACCCAGCTCACTCACTCACTCACTCCTGTTAACGTTTTGATAACGTTTGCATTTTCTGTCAATTTTTCAAGTGTATATTTTCTTTTGAGCGGCAGTGTATCATGAAGCTCATCATTAGCTTTGTCACCATCATTAACTTTTTCATTCAACAAAATCTTCACTCCATCCAGATAGGATGTCAATGGATTAGGATTAGTCTCGTCAGGAATAGCGACGGACCGCGTCCGTAAGAACTTTTCAATATCTAGTCTGTACATTAGCTGGATGTTTTAAACGCAAATAAAGTATCAAGCAAATATCCAAACATCATCTCACCAATACCCGTAGTGGCTGTTTAGACTGAAATTGGAACTCGTTCATGCATTTTGAATCAAGGATTAATAAATGGATGTCAAAAGAATGTAGACAAATGTAGCTTCTTCGTATTTTATAAGTTATTTACGTTATTACTTATAAAATCGTGAAAATTAAAATATGTCCTATGCGTCATTCATGATTAATAAAGATAACATATTCGATCCAGGGATAGCGGCATATAAATCTTTAGACCGCCTGCTGTCGAAGCAGTTCCACTCGGAAGAATCTTTACTCCGGCCAATTCGACAAAGCGATCTTAGTGCAAAGGGGATCGCAAATCTATGTTGAGGAATGGGTTACATTCGCAGTTCTAAGGTCGCACTTTGAAGTGGGGCCCTGGACAATGCGATCATCAGGTTAGTAAAGAAGATATTTTGCCATCGGTGTATTCAACCCCCCGACCATAACTTGCCTCACTCTAAAGAATCAGTTCAGTAAGTGTGACATTTATGCATCTATCGCAACCCTCTTATAGAGTGTATATAACGGCGCAAGGTGAAGTTGGTCATAGCGTGTCCAAGGACTCATACTACAAAGCCATCTTAACGCTACGACTGCCTATCCTATACTCTAACATAGACCTGTAATAGTCGTAGCACTGTGATCGCTTTGTGATGCGTTACCACACACTGCATTACTGTTTGTTTGTTTGTTTGTTTTACACCGAACTCAGCAATATTCCAGCTACATGACGTCGTCTGTAAATAATCAAGTCTGGTCCAGACAATCCAACGATTGACATCATAAGTATTGATCTACGCATTTGGGATACGATGACATGCATCAAACAAGTCAGCGAGACTGACCACTCGATCCCGTTAGTCGCCTCTTACGACAAGCATGGGTTGCAGAACACCTCCATCTCTACCCGAGTCCACTGCCGTACTGTTAGCGGATTCTGGACAGAATAGAACTGCATTGTCCCGCGTTGTTGAACGAGCGGCCTCAGATGAGGAACGGGTTGCTGCAATGGGGGACCAGGGTTCACTTGCCCCAAGTGATCTTAGCGTTACGATGCTCGAACTCCCATACATTAACGTAAACCTACGATGGCCGTAGCGCTACGACCGGTTTGGCCAAAGAGGACCTTGGTTGAGTTTGTGTCTTCGTACCCTAACGAATCATTGCTCATTCTTTCAACCACTGGTTGGACCAACGCCATAATTTAAAAGCCGTTCCATAGCTGGAATATACTTTAAGTTCACTACATATTTGGATGCCAAAATTTAATTTCATCTTGAAACCAGGGCCCCGTTCCACAAATCGATCGCAGCAATACGACTACAGAACACCTATGTTAAAATATGTGAATTACGATCGTCTTAGTGCTAAGATCGATTTGTGAAACGGGGCCCTGGGATGCGAAATGTGTTTTGTAACTCGTACCTGTTTAAGGAATCTGCATATGTCGAAAGCATTACACAAAAATATTTTTGCCGCAAACAGATATATGACACTTTACCGTTATGAAAAATAGTATCAACTTGGTTTCTGCCTCTTGCTTACATTAACAAAAATCAAATAGAGGAATGATTTATAGAGTTAGTGCCAGGCGCGTCTTGCACTGTGAACTTGGCGCTGTACAATGTGGAGTGTATTTCTGTCACGGCGGTGCTTCAGACATTGATTAATGTCATGTTATGACATATAACGATACATAATGTAAACACTAGTTTGATAGATCGCTCACCTCCCTTGGTTGAAACTGACGGACAAAAAAAGGATACACCCATGTTTAACGAGCAACAAGAAATAGTTATTCGATGGTAATATATTTCATAAGATTATCATAGTTGTAGTATGGACCTTAAGTTTGAAGTGTTTCGGCGACTGTTTTCAACCCAGTGACGTTTGTACGTGGTCGAATCGAATTTCCTGGGTTATGGTTTCTTTTGCGCGGCAGTGTATTAAACGGTTTTTTTCTGGAAACCTTGAACAAGATATCAAAATATATATATAAAAAACAGCAATGTTTGTGATAAAAGTAAAATAAAAGCCAACAATATTTAGGTATCATATATTTTAATAATACTTGTTGAGTAAGTTGTTACCATACCAACATCATGAAACATGTGAATTCACACATCTTTGGCACATGACAGTTTCGCTCACAAGCAATAAAATCTTCACTATAAATAACCAGCCGCGGACAGTGTCGGAATGTAGGTGGTCAAAGTCGTCACGGCTGACCACGCATGCACCTGTGTCCACTGACCATAACGCCCCACGTGGCATGATATTTGGCCCCTCTGATAATATGTGAAGCATATGGGGTACAAATTGAAAATACTAAAATGCTGCATTTAGTACAATTATTGCCATGGTTACGACATTGTAAATATGAATATTGATGTAAAAACATTGTCTGATAAAATGTAAATCTTTTGGTAAAAATAAAATAGAGTATTGTATCTAATGCTGTTATCAATGTGCAGATAATCTGAGCGAGTTATGGTGAATACTATGATATCTTATACTGATAGTCGAATACTCTATCAGGGCTCATATCTCGAACAATAACGAATAAATACGAAATGGTGACTGGTAAACGTTCATAACCTGAGATCAGTTTCGAGACAGACTTGGTCTGACGAGACTACAGGAATAAATAATATAGTAAATGCAATAAAGGTAATACTTTAGTTGACAAGAACGCGACGCAGTCAGTTGATAAATAAACATTATACTGACCAAATAAATAAACATTTGTCATCTACAACAATATAGTTGCATGTTGAACACGCACAGCACTAACAGAACAAAAGAGTCAATTTCTCATTTTAGTGTCAATGTAACAAGTGTCACTGAACGCATGAATCCATGACGTCACTGCACAAAATGATGACGTCATAGCACACAATGATGACGTCATAGCACAAAATGATGAAGTTATTGAACCATAGGCCCACAACAGCCGTCTTCGTGTTTCAGCAGCAGAGACATGCGTGAGAATGTCTTGGAGCAGGATCTGCAGCTGTATTTCTTGACATCGGAGTGGGTCTGGAGATGTGCTCTGAGGTTGGATCGGTCCGCGAACGCCCGGCCACAGTGGGGGCAGGAGAAAGGCTTCTCCCCCGTGTGGGTCCTGATGTGACCCTGGAGCAGCCAGGGCCGGGAGAAGGCCTTGCCGCACAGCTTACACTTGCAGGGGAGGGTGTGGGTCCGGATGTGCATCTTCAGGGCACCAAGCGACACATACGTTTTGTCACAGTATTTACAGTTAAATTCTTTCTTAATCTGCGAGGCACAGTGGAATTGTTTGTGTTTGGAAAGTCCGCTAAAAGTGGAGTAGCTTTTCTTACACGCATCACATTGATATCTCACAGGCTCGTTCTCCTTGCTTTTCTTCTTGTCCGACAGGGATAAGTCAATGTCTGAGGGCACACTTTGGGCTTTTAACACAGGATAATTCAGCACATTGTCAAAAGGAGCTTTAGAAAGCCGGGCACCCAAATCCATACTCTCCATCACCCGGTCGTCAAAAACCAATTTTCCCGTGTCGGCGGCAGGTGGGGAAAAATTGAGGGGGTAGCGTAGTCCGTGGAGGTACGGCGGAGGGGGAAGCAGGTGGTGGGTGCCTTTGAACGCTGACGGGACGTCCGGGTAGTGCCGATAGGGGAAAGGGGACTCTGCCAGCGGTCGGACAACGGGGGGCGCAGGAAGGCCATTCATAAACCGCAAGTTGAATGGCAGTAATGACGGGTGGTGGTGCAGACCCCCGAACACCGGACTGTGCCATGGGAATGCTTCTGGAAGTCGAGGGGGCTCCGGGGGTGAACTGCTTGGGGTACCGATGGGTGAGGTACTGCTGACGCTGCGGTCACTGTCTCCGAACCCTGGGGAGAGGCTTGACCCACGCAGGGGCTTGTCGAAGATCAACGGTGGGAGAGGTCGGGGATGAATGGGACTGATCTTCCCTCGTGGGCTGAGGTAGATATCTGGGCGCTTCAGACGCAATGCAATCTCTTCCATTTCTGAAAATCATGATAAAAATATTTTAAATTCTTTGAACAAAATTGACTTGTATGCTTTATATGTAAGTTCATAAGTGAATTAAACAAAATAAATATTACCAATACTTTTAACTTCTTTAAATTTTCCATTTTATTAGTTTAATAAAAGGGGAGACTTAATGTAACGTTATACACAGGAGGTTAATGGTGTCATAAGAAATATCGTGTACATAATTAAAATGAAGAAAGAAAACAAAACTTAAGTCACTATAGTTAAAGTAAACATAAAAAAATGTATGCCTACCTTTTTCTCTGTGAAAAGCTCTGTCTTGAATGACGACCTTCTCGCAAGGCGACACCTGACGTGGGGGTCTGTCATTGCGAGGCGTCTTTTTAGTCAGGTCCATACCCGTCTCCTCTGTCACACACACCATCCCGGGGGTTGGGGAGGCGAGCACTGGGGTGGGGGAGGCCAGGACTGGAGTAGGAGCAGCCAGGATGGGGGTAGGGTACACCAGCTCCGGGGTAGCAGCGACATATATATCCCCCGCTCGTTCCCTTTTCTTGATGAGGAATGCACGAGGCATTTTGAGTGAGAAGTTAGCACAGTATCCAAACTCGTAACAGACGCGTTAGTCACTAACCGCTTGTTGACAAGTTGAAAAAGTCGGGTCGGCTCATGAACGTAGCGTCGATTGACAAGTGATCTCGCTGAATGCAGTGTTCAACACAACTCTTAACTCGGAACGGAACCACACCGTATAAATACCTTGTCATAGGCTGCACGCTGTCTTTGTAAATCTCTTCCCTCGCTATCACCAATCACGGCGAGGGGACAGTCAGATGGCGCTCTCAGCCAATCAGATGCCTCGGCGCTCTATAAGCCCCGCCCCTATCCCGCGTGTGCCGCGTGCGCTTGTTGAGACCGCCAACAGGTGTAGGTATGGAATTACACCAGTAATGAAACGTTTTGGTGGTAAACCAGGAAAAAACCGACACTGGCAAAAGCAATAGGAATCGAAAAGCGATTGACTACCACCCAACCTCAGCAGCTCTCGAGTGTTGTCAAATTTCCATCTTTTTTCATCTTTTGTGCGTGAAAGCGAGAACATTAAAGATTTTACCGGAGCCGTATGAACAATTTTAGGGTTCGTTTTTCTTCAACCCCCCGCACGCGCAACGCACCAGCGACGCTACTCGTTAGGACAAAAAAAGTGACGTTTTTGTCACATTTGATACGAATGATGTCTGTTGTTATTTAAATTTCGTTGAAGAAAAGGGGGAAAGAAGTTGCTTAACGACATGGGCAATAAATTTTGAATTCTTTCTCCTACCTCAAAGTCAATGGGTAATATGGAAAATAAACGTTTAAATGTTTGGAAATGAGAGTTTCTTTTAAGATATTCCCTCGAGGAAACAAAACCTATTTAGAGTTTAACATTATCATTGAAATTTACTCCTTCACGCGTTAGTCTAAGCAGATGCACAAACACTCTTAAGACGCTTTGCGGTCAAGTTGAATAATAACCGAAACATAAACGAAATCGTTTAAACAAGAAAGCTATACGAAATCCTTCATATAAATGGGGGGACAATTAATTTATTTCCTGTCTTAATGTGCAGTCGTAATATGATTTTTAAAGTAAATAACCACTCAGTTCACCAAACCACTTGAATCATAAATAATTGTTGTTGTTTTAGAACCACGTTCGGTACAGTTGTACACACGCATGAATTTTATACCACGTTCGGTACAGTTGTACACACGCATGAATTTTATACCACGTTCGGTACAGTTGTACACACGCATGAATTTTATACCACGTTCGGTACAGTTGTACACACGCATGAATTTTATACCACGTTCGGTACAGTTGTACACACGCATGAACTTTATAACTATTGTGTTCAAATTTGGTTGGATAATTATATAAATTAAAGTACAAAAATGGCAAATCTATAAAACCTTGCATGGAGCACGGTTGACATAAGAATATCAAAAATACATAAATTTCTCTTATGCGATAGCCTGGTAGTAATTAATGATAGTCGACTCATCTTGTTAACATATTAACGTGAAATGCCTGTGATTCAATATCGGTAGTGTGTCTATCATAACATCAAAGCAATAGTTACCCTTACGTCACTAATCGGAAATTATCAAACCTTAAATCTCCGTTATTTTAAGATGTTAGAAAGAGTAATATAAAGGATTATTTCAAAGCGTTTTAATGACCCGTTTGACAAACACGTTGCCTACATAACAGGTTAAGCAATGAAACCTTTACATGTCATCGGGTTCATTAATTTATCAATAAAGACATTCCTTCATTTTTCATAAATTGTAATTCACTCTATACTTGTTGATTAATTAACGTCAATATTAAAAATAATAATTGAAAACTTGTTATGTATTGCTGAAGTAATTATCACAAATAATAGATACATTATGAAACATTGTTAATGCATCATGGAAACTGTTCAAATAATTTTAGTTTATTCAAATTGACTAAAAAAAATATCTAACATAATATCAATTTTTTTTTAGGGTAGACATTAATATGTCATTTAATATAGTTGCTTAACTTAAATTGAGTAATCACGTTTGTGTTATTATAATTACATCAGGTATGTGAATACTGAAATACATACAAACAAACGCTTTCGATGTTAGGAAAGATGCACACCTCAATTACTTTGACACGTGGGCACTGACAATATACTGTGTACCACTGTGTGTATTGCATTGCAGAAGGTGTCTACATAGCATGCGTTAACATCAAACACGTGCATACGCTCGTGTAGATCAACGCATGCGTGTGTATCACACTTCAACAGCAAAATGAGAAACAACTGCTTTCATCTTTCACTGACTTTGCGACGAAGCGTGCTAGTATATTGTCATTTAAGCAGAAGGAGAATTTGCTGAAAGGATTACTGCTAATGTGGAATGTCACTAGTTTCACGAAGCGAAATAGCATGGCTGAAAAAGTATGATTAAGTCATCAGCGATTGCGTGAAGAAAATTGTCCCTTTTCAACACACGGTATGAACCAAGGTTACAGTTTATGGTGTTTCGCGCCACAAAGTATAGGAATTTCAGCCAGCGTTAATTCAGCGTGACCGCCCCCCACCCCCACCCCCCACCGCGGGGGGTAGAGTCTGATCATATCGTATCACTACAAGCCGAGTTCATATCATTCTGCTGATACGTATATTATTCTACAAATCCAGAATAAAAAAAAATCAATTTCGTCCCAACTGAGAATATTAAAAATGAATCACGAAACTCATGCAACAGTCAAGGAGGGGGGGGGGGGGGGGGGGGGGGCAAACTGGTAGTCTGTGTTTCTAATCGTCCTTTATACTGGGATGAAGTATTTGTGTTGTAAACGAAGTACATAATGTTCCAAATACACCTTCTTTCATCTGCCGCCATCATGTGTCAACAAAGTAGTTTTGGCGCTTCTGGGAACATTAAAATCCATCTCTGATTTCAAGTCTGAGGAGAAAAACATTTTGAATTAAAGGTCACGAGTCTTCACATCAGCGTAGCTTATGAAAGATTTTTCATGATAAAAATGATGCATGTCGTAATAAAATAATTTTACGACGTACCACAAATGAAGTAATGTCAAATCCATTTTATTAATATTTCAAAACTATGTTTTGTCTTTACAAAGTGAAATTTTTTTGTATCAAGGGCATGCCACAATGATGCCTCGTTGTCACCGCGGTGTAATCTGTACGTTGTCACCATGGTATAATCTGTATGTTGCCACCGTGGTATAACCTGTATGTTGTCACCATGGTATAATCTGTATGTTGCCACCGTGGTATAATCTGTATGTTGCCACCGTGGTATAATCTGTATGTTGTCACCGTGGTATAATCTGTATGTTGCCACCGTAGTGTAATCTGTATGTTGCGACCGTGGTATAATCTGTATGTTTCCACCGTGGTATAATCTGTATGTTGCCATCGTGGTATAATCTGTATGTTGCCACCGTGGTGTAATCTGTATGTTGTCACCGCGGTGTAATCTGTATGTTGCCATCGTGGTATAATCTGTATGTTGCCACCGTGGTATAACCTGTATGTTGTCACCGCGGTGTAATCTGTATGTTGCCACCGTGGTATAACCTGTATGTTGTAGTGGTGTGGTCTGTATGTTGTAATGTCGATAGGGGCAAATGACATTACATACAATATCAACTTCAGGTTGTCCGTGTAAAGGTAAATATCAACATCTAAAACACCAACAACATTAAAACAACAATGTCTAATATGTATTCATATTCATCGGGTAGCCCAGTTGTAAAAGAGTTCACTTGTTACGCAAAAGGTCCGGAATCGATTCCCTGCATGGGTATAATGTGTGAACCTTATTCTCAGGTGTCCCCTGCGGCGTAAAATCATACTCGCCCATTCACCCAATCATATTCGTACATATGTAACAAGAGTGAGTGAGTGAGTGAGTTAAAATTTAACGTCGCATCGGCATTATATCAGCCATATAGCGACGATATATAACAAGAAGATGCATTACGCCCATTATGAAGAAGTGATAGTTTCATAAGGGATTTAGCAGCAATCACTTCCCTCGACGTAGACCATCAACAGTAATAACTTTATTTCATTTCTGTGGTTTCTGTAGCTCACACAAAAATATATTTAAGTTGCATGACAGCAGGGCAGATTATTTAAAATTTATAAAAATACGGTACATATATTATTTACCCATTATTTGTTACCTTATTTCACAAAACTTTTGCTTATCCCTTTAACACACTTATTTTTGAATAATTTTTGTTTACTACAAACTGTGGAATTTTAACTAATTTAACTTAATAAACTCACAAGTATACCGAGGTTTTTGCATCAAGCTACAAGCAGCATATGAAAACGAGAGAGTGAGTGTCAACTTCTATGTACTTATTATCTTGTATACATTTCTTTCTTGTCCTTCTCGAGACATAGTCAATTGTATGCATAATAAATACCACCTGATGCATAAATATCAAATATGAGCAGGCTGTTCACATCCATATTGGTCTTGGAGACGTATGTTTGTCAATTTGAACTTGTTCAAGACGTTTTGTTTCCGCTATACTGTATAATGTGTACCACAGCTCACCATTTCAATAACGAATGCCAATAATGCTAATTGTGTGAGTGGCGGATGCAACCAGTAGGCAAGGACACGCTTGCCTATTTCGCGAACACCTGGCGTCATAACGGATTTTCTGTGGTCATTTTACGCCTGTTAGAATCTGTTTCGACAGATAATCCTCTGATGTTGGCGTTTTATACTTACGATACAAACACCTATCCCGTGGTTCATGTATATCGCTACTCTCAACTAATTCTAGCCAAAATTATTTTTTGCGGTGTTTGCAAATTCTGCGCACTGAACCTACTCAGCACTATGTTTAAAGGGGCACTGATCTAAAGCAATTCCCCGGGACTGGTTGTTGCCTTTGTTATTGTTTTTTCCCATGAGTACCCGGATGATATAGCAGAAACCTAGACTAGTTCGAGACCTGTGCTGCGCAATTCGTTAGCGCATCTGTCACTTTTGTTGATAGTATAAGTATCTATCAACAAAATGAAATACAGTTTTGGAAATAATAAGGAAATGTAGGTATCTTTGTGGGTAGCATCGGTAATGGTGGCGATAAGTCACTTGCTTGGTAATTGTGCGATTTTCGTTTACACTATTTTGACTTGCAACACAAAGTA